CCCAGTAATAGTTACGATAGACCGAGACCACCTAGTAGTAGTTATGACAGACCTGATCCGCCTAGTAGTAATAATTATGATAGACCAAAACCTCCAAGTAGCAATTATGACAGACCACCTAATCCTCTTCCTACCGGAAATTACGATAGACCGAAGCCTCCTACTTATGACAGACCAAACCCACCCAGTGGCAACTACGACAGACCTAGGCCTCCTAGTGATAGCTATGTTAGACCAGAGCCGCCTAGTAGCAACCATGATCGACCAAACCCGCCTAGCAGCAACTACGACATACCTAGACCACCTAGTGATAGTTATGTTAAGCCAGAGAGGCCTAATAGTAATTATGACAGACCCTATAAACCGACAAATGAATATTTATTTGACAAAACAATCGACAGACACGATACACAACCAGAGAAACCTGATAACTATCAAAAACCTGGAACTGTTAAACCTTCTGATGGTTACGATAATTCCATCAAAGAAAATCCTAAACCGAAAGAACCCCATTCAAAACCAATCGTAACACACGCGATCGGCTCCCATGGAGAATCGATTACTTCGATAATCACCGAATTAGATGAAGGTGAGTCTGTGTTTTATTTTCCATGAAAATTACAGTTATTTTTTTGTTTTACAAACTATGCTTACATCACTAGATAAAGATCTAAACTGAGCTACTGGCTGAAGGTTACCAAAGGCTACAACAATGGTCACTTATTGTTGTTTACATGCATAACTAATTACACGTAGCTCGTAGATCATTTTTGACGACTGAACCAAATAAAAGACTTATAACAGGCAATACAATTACATTTTGCAACCACCGTGTAATTTATGTCAGACCAAAAAAAATCAAAATTTTGACGCATTTTCTCAAAAGTTGTAATTTACGTGAGATAACATCACTACAAGGTCGTTTTAAGACAGTCACTAAACAAATTGACCAATTATTCAGGTGTCTGAGATCAGTTTCCTTGAGTTCTGACAGATTCTTCGTTTTACTCAATTTTTATGGCGGTAAACAGGATACTCGCTTTCTGTCTACAAGGTGCTTGGCAAAAAACCAATAAAACAGATTTTGCGTTACTCATCCTCTTGCAAAAACAACTTCTGTATTATGTAATGTCGAGAGTCTAAATTACGAATACCTGCACGCCATAAATAATTTATACTTAGTCAAAAATCACTGAAAACTGTTATTTTTAGAGTCTGTTGTTTTAGAGTCTCACAAGGAAGTATAAAAAATTCTTCAAGCCAACCATTAAATAAATAATGAGAAAAAAAACAGTTTCGGATTTGTAAATCCGCAAAAAATGTAATAATCGTAATGTAATGTAATTATTACAGTTATTTATTACTATGTTGATTTAAATCGAAAAAAACTCGTGGATGAAACAATAGGGATTATGCATGCATTTTTATTCATCGCCATAATCACCTATGTTATTTTTTTAACGACTACCTCACTAAATTTAATTATTTCATTAAATTAATGTTTAAAATGATATTGCTCTATACAACTGAGAAAAACAGTTAACCAAACTTCATTAAAAATTAAGAGTGATATTCCACAAGGTAGGAATTCTATTTTATTTTAAATGCAAATAGTACAAAAACCAAAAAAATTGAAAACACCTATGTCATAAGACTTATTTTTAACACATCATTCCGTAATTAGTAAAGTGAAAAAGAAGTCAATCAACTTTAAACATTTATGTACTCTTTTTCATAATAATGTGCATCAAGTAGGTTGTAGAAGTCTAAATGCATCTTTAATTTAAAGGCCGATTCACACAAAAAGTGTCATTAATGTTGTTCAGAACAAATTTATTCATATCAATAATGACATTTTTTTTATTTTATATTAATTACGTTATTATTTTATATTAATTTTTTGTTACCTCAAAAGTGGGGTTGGAGTTGGAGACCAAATACTTTGGTCGTCACTTTTCTGACACTTTAATGTAATTCAAGCTTTAACGTTAAAAGAAATGACAATTTCAAATTAATGACAGCTATTATATTTTCCTATCAAAAATATGTATTTACATACAACTCGTCAACTATGATTGACAGTAGCTAAAAATAAGGCTATTTTTATAACAGTCCTAAAGCATGATTTACAATTTAATGTCACTTAAGTGACATTGACGACCAAAGTATTTCGTCTTCAACTGTACACCTACAGGATGCGCTAGAACTTGTGCCCCAGAGAAAAATGCCATATAAGGTAAGATACCAGGAACATGGAAAAAATTAAAAAAAAAATTGATTTATAAAAATTTCGAAGTTATGAGAGTTTAAAGTTTGCACTTTGACTCTATTTATTTCTGTTGGAAAAATAATTTTCCAAGTTTTTTTGCTATAAGCTATTAGAAGAGGAAACCAATGAGAAAGCTGTATCCTAAATTGCAACTCTGTTCAATGTTATTTGTGGCTTTTATTGGCAAAATTTTTGTCCCTTTACTAAATAATTGTAAAAAACATATACAAACTCATCAGTATCACTAAATAGACATAAAAAAATGTCAAATGACAAAAAAATAAATGTCAAAATTTTTTGACAGATAGAATTTTTTAAACATTTTTTCCATGTTCCTGGTATCTTACCTTACTTGAAATTTTTCTCTGGGGCGCGAGTTCTGGCGCACCCTGTATTTATTTGAGAAAATAATTTTTTGGGAAGATTGAGGTTGGGATTGTTTGAATTTAGTGGAATTTTCGCATGGTTGCCACCTTAAAATGATGCTTATCAACGCCTATTTCGATTCACATTACTATGAAAACGATTATAATTAGGCAAAAAGTTCTGTATAAAAATGATAATAATCGTCAGTCAAGTCATAATTTCAATGTTATGAAATTTTAGAAAAAATCCGCTAATAAAGCACCCAATTTGCTGTAAGCTTGCTGGTAAAATTATTGCAATTATTTACATCACCATTGTTGATTTCTAATTTTAAAAATAATGGAATTCCTTATATAAAGTTATTATCATGCTCTCCTGCTACATAAATTAACAACTTAATTTCTGCCATGATTCATATAAATTTATTCAACAATCATAATTATGGAAAAATTTATGTATCTCACGGATTGATCACGAAATAAATGCAATTTCTTTGATGGTATGACTACAATGTGCATCAATTTTGACGTCACCACTCACTCACTGAATTTATTCACCAAGTTGATAATACTTTCAATTGTGGTGCTACAATAAGGTATTATCAACAATGGTGTACAATATACGAGAGAGTAAAAAATCAATGGTCCATAAAACCCATGGGTGGGCGCCTAAAAACTCTTATTTCCGGATTCCCACACAAGAATATCGATGCACTACCTCTCCCACTACACGAAAGAGGGGCACCAGAACAAAAACCACTCATTCACAAATCGCAAAATGGGTATCCTTGGATAGAATGCATATATTCACACAGATCTTACTACAAAATCCCAGTAGTTGTTGTTTGTTGCTTAAAGTTAACGTTTTCGGTTTGTTTTTGAAAACCAACACCGGTGTTGTTATATTGAGAGAAGAAGGGAATTTTCGCAATTTCTGTTTTGTATGTTAATTTCTTATGTATATCGCACCTTGGGAACAAGAAGGTTCTATTGAGACATGGTCAAATTAAAATTACATTCTTAATTGTCTTAATAATAAATCTTAAAGTTATGTTAATTAAATAGTGTTAAATAACACCGAATGCTTGCATAATGACAGATCTATCAACGTCGGGGTTTTAGTTGTGATCGACGGGTTTGTACTAGAAAATGAAAGTGTTCAACCAGTCTGTGATATTTTTTGCTATACTTTATGTTTCCACTTCTATCAGCAGCACCATTATTATCGTCGAAGACGCCAAAGGTAATTTTTTTGAACTCTTACTTAAATTAATTCTCAAAGTTCAAATATTCGAAAATTCTTAATTTTCATGATTTTAAAATATGAACAGATAAATAAATACAAATTACGAACTAAAGTCTGTTTTTTTTTAAATGGAAAGGCCAAACAGACTTAACGTTGGCACCACTGGTAATTCATTCATGGTAATTTTAATATAGGAATTTGGCAGTTCCGGTTTTTTGAATTAATTTGAAAACAATGTCATTAAAGGTCAATATAAAAAATCGTCTAAGAAAATTTAGAGACGAAACACCAAAAAAGGAACAAATTTGGTACCGCTAACAGTTTTTAGAAATTTGGAAACGAATATGTCGCAAACAGGAAGTTAGAAAAAGGGCCCGTTAAAATGTAGTTGCAATTTTTAGCAAAAAATTGATAAGAATACAAAATAAACATGAATGAGAAAGAATTTCGGAAAAAACGTAATTAAATTAGTGTCTTGTGCATCGTTTTTGAAGACAGAATTGAAAAAGTAACAATTTTGAAACTAAAGCTGAAAAAGGATTTATAAAATTCATCAACTTTGAGCTCATTTCAATAAATTACACAAAATTTATTGCCAATTATTATAATACCTGTATGTACAGTTACGGAATTAAAATTTCGGACAGTATTTTTCTGTCACTTCAAAAAGTTCACTGTAAACTACCTTTTACCGTCATGACTGACATTTGACAATTAAACTTGTCTGTCAGTGAGGATATTTTTTAAGTCAAAATGACATAAACATGACAAGAGTAAAAAATGAGGTTATTAATGTAAAGGTTGTTTTAGAGTTTACATTATGAAAATGACAATACTGCCCGAAATTTTAATTCCACAACTGTACATCCTTTTTCAAAGTTTTTGTAGCAAGAACCTCATTTTTGTCCACAACATTGTACTTACTTGCAGTGTGTTTCTATCAAAATTATTAGCACAGAATTGTGTCTTTAGACCTAACGTATTTAATTATAGCGCTTTCAAAGAGCAAACAGGCACACAAGATTCATAAAAGTCAAAATTTTGACAACATCTCAATTTAAAAACACAACCATAATTTTTTAACAAAATTTCTAAGGACAAAAACAAAGAGCAAATAAAATTTGGGGCTATGGAGACAAGCTGCTACCAATTTTTTCACCAAAATTTTGACTTGGTAATTTCCATTTAAAGAAAAAATAGACTACATAAAACTTTTCTATAAACAGATTAAATTAACAATAACATAAGAAAATGATAAATTTGTCAAATAATGTCAAATAGTTTGTTCATTCAATTGCAATTTTAAAATTAAAATCGGTATTAAGGAGTTTGTTTATGTCAAAAAACACCCAAAAGATTCAATCTATTCAATTCCAGTTTTAAGAGTAAAAATCGGTATTTCATTTATTTTATTCTCAAGAGAATAGAGTATTCGACTATTAGTCAAAAATAAGGTAATATAAAGTGTCACTTTATTGTCTGTTGGGAAAAAAGGACATAATTTTACCACAAAAGTTTCAAGTATTTTGTAATGTTTGTTCAAATCGACTTTCCCAATTTAGTTAGTAGTTGGAAACAACCATAATTTTTTAACAAAATTTCTAGGGACAAAAACAAAGAGGAAATAAAATAAAAACAGACTTTAGAAGTCTTGAAAATTAAACCAAGTGCAATATTTTTGCTGAAGTGACTAAGACTTCTTGAAACCAATTTGCATAAATTTGAATATTAATTAAAGGATGTATGTGTCATATCGCTCATATCTTAATTGCGTGCGTACGTTGAAAAAGCGGTGCAGAAAATTTCGCTGAAAAAATTGCAAAACTCATGTACTACACCAAAGTTACATTAGCATACAAACAGTTCATCCAGTTCCTAACCTTAGCTTTATGTAAATCTATTCTTTTTTCGAATCAGTTCGACCTAAACATTTCCGGCTTGATCTCAAACACAACAAAGTTACAATAAACACCATACACATAAAATAATAATCATAATAAAACTTACACTGCAATTTTCCGTTTCAAAATAAGATAAACATCAATTTCTATTTTATTTCTTAACGATTCCATTGTTTGTTTCAAATTAGTTATCCGCTGAAGGTAAAAATTTCAAAACCTACCCATCCACGATTCTGTTACGACCTTAAAGGTTAAGAAATTTTCTACAATTCAAAAAAAAACCGATTTTTTTCAGCATGCTTCAGGAGAGTGTTGGCCGGAAAACGCGTAACTCGTGCACTCGTTAAACGCGCGTTATTTTGCGAAAGAGTCGAAGATTGTCAACGGGAATGTGCAGATGAAAAGCGGTTCCCTTGCGAAGGATTTAACTACAGGTACGTAAATTTCTAACACCGACAGATTTACTCTTTACTGCACGCCACTGAATTGTAAATTCCCACAAAAATAATAACTAACGACACCTCGAGTGTAATTTATACGAAAAATTGTGCAATTATTACTTCGTTTAAACTAAAATTGTGTGGTCTTTAAATCGTTGAAAAATGACAAAACGATTTTAGAAGATGATTAGCCTCATCCTATTAACCTTGCACGTAAAAAATGAGCTATTAAAAGATCTACGGTCCATGAAAATGTAAGAAATTCAGCCTTCAGGGTACAATAGTTAAGAAATGCAACTAACTGAAAAAGCAGCACTTTAAAAGTTATTTAAGAACAATAAAATTTTGTTGTTTTACATTAAAGGCACCAAATTATTGCGAAATAAGAAACACCTTGGACTCAATTGAAGTTATTTTCTGATAAGTCAAAGAATTGCGAATATCACAGGCGAAATAACCAAAATGATAAATTAAGACTATTTCTTTAATAAAGGGAAATTCAAAACTCACAGAATCATTGTAGGATGATAACCACTACCAAATTTTTATATTATTATTATTAACCGTCATCTTATAAAAATGTTAAAAAATAAAATAATCACGGGTTTGGGTAAAAAATAAAAGAATGTTTTTTATATTCTATGAATTCTAGAAAAAAATCTCTACATTATTAATTTGCTGATGGTCAGTTTTTTTCATGCATTCCAAGTTGTAAAGTCACCAAACTTTTATACTTGCACTCCTAATAACTTTGAGAACAAATCTTAATGAGTAGGTATAATTTTGTAAATTAATTTACTTATAATTACAGAGAATGAATTAAAATTTCTGGATAAAAAATAATCCGATTTATTATATATTTATTACTATTACTTTACAATGTAAAAAGTCAAATTAATCACTAATTAAAATTTAATTGCAATTAATAGTTTTGTAATAATTTTAACTACTTATACGGATAATTATTAGATTATTTTTAAAGATTTTTTGCTGTTATTAAAGACTCGATTTTTCGATGATTTTTATAAAAACAAATGATAATGAATTCTTGTCAATCCTGTAGAAAAAAATGCTAGTTTTCTATTCAAAAAATCAATTTTGAACGATAGCTTTTGTTATTACATAGGAAACAAAAAAATGTGTATAATTGGAAGTGTGTTTATGTTTATAATAAAAAATAAGATTCTGTATATGTAATGAATTGGTAGCACAATTCTGGATCACTTTAAAAATTATTTTCTGTTACTTTATTAAAAAAACAAATAAAAAATTGTTTTTTTTTAAATACAGCTGTAGTCGTTGATAGTGGACACTAGAGTCACATGTCTGAGGTAAATAAATTATATTATACAGTGTGTCCCCAAATAGGTGAAACGATTCTTGTAAAAGATAAAAAAATTCTCGAATTAAAATCTCATTTTTTGGCTTCAGTTTTGCTTGGTTAAAGACCGATTTCTAACATAATTTTAATTAAAAAAAATCAAGCTGTTTGGAATAAATATGTAGGCCTCTATAGCAAATTATCGGCTAAGTATAATTTTTCATTTTCTTTTGTTTACAAATTTTTATTTACAATTTTTTACAATCAATAAAATCTTTTGTAAATTTTGTAAATTTTTTTTATCCATAATAAAAGAAATGTTAAAAATAAAATCCTTCGATTTGTGAATAATAAACAAAAAAATTCAAAATCATTTTAGAGATTATGAAATTTGGTAAAGGAGCTTGAAAATTATTAAATTTAGGTATAGAGAATGTTAATACAGATCAATGCAGAATTAAATTCTCTTCTATTTAGTAAAATAAAAATTGGGGTATTTCATTTGGAAAAATTGAGTTATGCGTATTTGAATTATTACAAAAGTAACCTTAAAATTTTGTAGTTTGTTATTTTTTTTTCAAAGTTTGAAAATAGCTGAAGAAAGATCTAAACTTTCTCTTTCAAACGCCAAACGAATTCAAAATTTTAAAAAATGGCAGAGTTACCGATTTTTAAAGTGGAAGGTGCAGATCCAAAATTTTTTTAAAAACTCCAAATATTTCAAAAACGGCTAAGAGAAAGCTGATAAAAACTCCCTTAAAATAACCCGATTAATCCAAAAACGCTGTAAAAAATATACCTTTCCATTTAAAATAAGAAAGTTGAGACCGACTTCCGGTATAACCAGAATTGCCGCCATCTTTAAAATATTTTTTTTAGCAGAACTTAATGGATTATGGTTATGTACCAATTTTCAAATAAATATGATTATTCGAACTCCCAATACTTTTAATGTGGGGTTTAAACGGAACATGCTGTGTAGTAATTTACAAAGTAATTTAAAATAGAGTTATTTTAGAGGGATTGTTTGGAATCTGACAAAAATGTCACATTATAAACCAACAATAATTAAATTTCAACGTTCTTTAAAAACCCTTTACGGTTTTACCAGAATAATTTTAAAAGTTCATTATTTTCACTCAGTGGAAAGAAAATTTAATTTTTCTCTTGATTTTGAGCTTGTAATAACTAATAACACTATAGTCTACAAACAATACGACCTTTAATCGAATTATTATTTTTATGTTAACTTACCTTTAATTAAACAAAAATAATTGTTAAATTTTTCTATCACGTCACACTTTTTTTGTTACAGACGATAATTTTCCTGCTTCTGCACAAATGCCTCCGATTTAAAATTTATTTAAATTTAAATTGTTGCTGAATTATTGCAAAATTATTACTATATGGGTCTAAATAGGTCTTAAAAACATTTCACTCGCATTTGGACTTTTTTTCTACAATTTAGGATGAATGACATACAAGTAGAGCGTTTTCTTCAAGATCTGAAGCGTTTAGGGATGAAAATGTTAGTAAATTACTGTTGGATTGTTATAAAGAAAACTGATCTAAAAAGTATAATAAAACCGAGTAAAATAACTCACTTTTAATATGTTTTTTGTCGGTATTTGTATTTTTGTTAATTACATATTTCTTAAACGTAACGAGGTGGACTTTTTTAAATAGTTTTTTTTTAACTCAGTGCCTCAAAATCTATAAGAAATTTAAGGTTTAAAAATCGTGTAAACTAGTGTATTTTTTCTCTGCGTTTTAAATCCCACATTAGTGTTTCATTTTTTTGAGAACGATGTCGTTTTGACAGATGAGTTAAAGCAGGTTAAATAACAAAATTGTTTGTAAAAAAAAACATAATTTTAAGAAATGGCAAGTCAAAAAAACAGCTTCTAAAAAAACAGTCATTTTTATTTAACAAAAACAATCATCATTCAATTAATTAATTAATTTTCAAAGTGACATCGTTGTCAAAAAAATAAAATAGCCAATGTGATGAGACTTGAAAAGCAAAGAAAAAAGTATTTCCTTTGCTTTTTTGGCGTACAATCAAAGTAAAAATTTGTTTTCTTTTGACTGGCTATTATTACCTACAGTTTACAGTTTTGAAATCTATCATCTGTAATTTTTGTAGTTTCGTTTAAAAAAACAAAGCTAATGTGTTCATTTTTTCAACAACAGTATAGGTCATTTCAGCTCAAAACTCTTCTTAAAAAAAGCATTTTTCTACAATTCTACAACATATCTTATCTTTACAGCAACAGCAAACTGATTTTTAAAATTCGTCCAACTAGAAACATAAAATTAAAGAAAAATAAAAAAAGTGCTGTGAACGTATATGAAGAGCAATAATTTGGTGTAAAATGTCATAGCCCTTTATTATTTTTTTTTATTGTTCGATTAAGCTTCAAATAACTCAAGCCTATAACTGAGATGCGCTAACAACACCTTTGGATTCCTATAGGAGGGAAAAATATTTACTGATATAACATTAGTTTTAAATTTCTTCAACGTAAGTTTTATGTAATGAGGAAGTCTAAAATTATTCAAATATTCCCCATATGCAAATGTTTTCCAATTAGTATAAAACGTATAGATTTAACTTAATACAGGATGCACCAGAACTCGCGCCCCAGAGAAAATTTTCAAGTAAGGTAAGATTTGAAATGATTGACATTTATTTTTTGACATTTGACATTTTTTTATATCTATTTAAGGATACTGATGATCTTGTATGTTTTTTTACAATTATTTAGTAAAGGGATAAAAATTTTGGCAATAAAAGCGAGAAATAACATTCAACAGAGTTAAAATTTAGGATACAGCTTCCTTGTTTCCTCTTTTAGTAGCCTATAGCAAAAAAACTTATAATTATTTTTCCAACAGAAATAAATAGTCAAAGTGCAAACTTTAAACCCTCATAACGTCGAAATTTTTATAGATAAAATTTTTTTAACATTTTTTCCATGTTCCTGGTATCTTACCCTATATGGCATTTTTCTCTGGGGCGCGAGTTCTGGCGCACCCTGTATAAAGCTGCTGTTGGATGCATCAGAACAAATCAAAACTTGCATTCAACTTTATCGGAACCGATATTTGAATATAAACAAAACATCAACACTGACCTAAAAACACTGCAAGGCCAAATCAACACCAAGACCATCACAAAATAACCGTATCAAGTTACATCATCATTGCGCTTTTGTGCACCCAAATAGCGGAAACCCATTAGAATGCGTTGTTAATATGATGTCACTTTCGTACATCCTTACAATTTATTTAATTACTCCAACAAAAAACGATTTTAGATTGGATCCATCAGGCCGTGGAAAAGGCGAATGCGAACTTCTCGAAATCCCTTTAACGCATTTAGACATTGGGAGAGATTTATACCCCGACCCTGATTACGATTACTACGAACGAGACAGAAACGCCGCTAGTGCAAATTGTAAAGGTGGTTACTATAACCAGTACGGTAACGACGGTTACTATAACCGACGACACGATCAAAGACCGTACGATTGGTGGGACGACGACAGAAACCGGTACGGTAACAGAAGACCACGACCCGATTTCGGTTACAACCGACCCAATTATGATTTTGATGGTTACAGGCCAAATGGTAACAGACGGGGAGGTAAATATGATAGTGATAATGTAATTTGGGACGTATTGTGTCTCCGCTTTGCTTAAGTCTTATGTATTTCTTTAGTTTAGTAAAAAGTGACAAAGGAAAAAATTGTTTTATTTTTTACAGACTTTGCCCATCATCATTCACACCATTCCGACACACACAATTATCATTTTGAGCACTATGATCATGGTCTTCCACCATATGATTACAAATCATATGAGCCATATTTACCTCCTAATAGAAGGCCGCCGTATGACGAGGACAGACATTACAACAAACATTACATCGACAGAGATAGAGAGAGGAATTATTGGGGTATCACTAAACCAACATGGGGTTCATACGGAACGAGTTATAACCCCCACGAATTCGACAGAAGAAATTATTACCTGCCCCCACAAATTGGGGGTTCGAAAGATTGGGGCCAATATGGGGGTAGTTACGGTAATGGTGGTTTAAACTTACAATACAACGGTTATGGACACAGTCAAAGTTTCGACTTTTGGGGTCTAAACAAATACGAGGAGAAATTCCACAATTATGGGGAATTACCCCCGAGCAAACCACCAAATGGGGGAAGTTATCCTCCTCTGAAACCTCCAAGTAACGTAGGTGAAAGTTACGTGCCAGTATTACCACCAAAACGACCAAACGGTGGAAGTTACCTACCAGAAAATCCGCCAAGTTATTTACCAGTGTTACCACCTAAACCCCCCAGTGATGAAAGTTACTTTCCCGTAACACCCCCAAATAGGGGAAGTTATTTGCCGGAAATACCCTCCAAACCGCTAAATGGGGGTAGTTACTTACCGGAAGCGCCCGGAAGATACCCGGAACGTCCAATAAATACCGGAAGTTATTTACCGTTACCGGGTAAACACGATAACGATTTTTACAATTCAATCCTTCCGGCTGAACCCAGGTATCCGTATCATTACGATTTTCTCAAGGACGGTAAGTTTGAGGAGTTTTTTTAGAGGGAGCGAAATCGAATACAATTTTTGTAGAGTGCTCTTTGAGAACTGCGGCAGGTTTTAGGTTGCAAAAAGGCATAGTTAAAAAGTTTTATGCTGTTCCGAATATTTATGAATGCGAACTTTTGTGTTTCAAGGAGAAAGAATTTCCTTGTGCATCGTATGCCTACAGGTAAAAAAACTAATGTATAAATTATTGTACAATAAACTGTTTGGAATATTTTTAGATATACGGTTTCGTTGACTTCACCCACAGATAATTGTTATTTAAGTAATCGCAATTATAAAGAACTTGATTATTACACGGATTTGGAACCCGACAGAGATTTTGATGTTTATACAATGAATAATATGAAGAAATGTGACCAACCTGTAATTCGTGGAAAAGACCATAGTGGTATTGTATACGACTTTATTTAATTAAAATAATTATTTATTTAAAATATATTTATTGAAGACAAGGGTAATGTAATAAATAATAATTGTAATTAAAGTAATAAAAATAATTACTTCTGAAAAACATTTAAATTGAATTTTATTCAAATTTTTGTAAAATACAAGGTGTTCCGTTTTTATTGTTACACATTTAAACAGGTGAGAGAATATTCAATTTTAAGACAAAAGTTTCCTATAAACAATTATCAAAAAATGTTACGGAAGCGAGCTACACCCCTTGAAAGAGATGCGTTTTTAATGGGGTTTTCCACTATTGCAGAATAGATAAAATTACAAAAGTTGGTACAGCTGATAACACCTGAACAAATTCAAAGATCAAAATTTTTAATTACGGGTGTCTTAAACGGTGAAACAAATTTATTTTTATCCTCTTTATGACAAATTGTAAACTGATTTTGCTCAAAAACGGTAAGTTATATCAAAAAACGCAAGAGACCTCTTTTTTTGTAAAAAACTATGAAATTTAGAATTTTGTGGCTGAAAGTGGCACGAACCAATACCCAAAATAGTTAGGGTACTTTTACCTTAAACCCCCCCAGTTTAGGACGTCCCTGAGTAAAAATTTCGACATTTTATCTTTGAATTCTTTTGGGCGTATAAAGGTTATCAGTTGTACCAAATTTGGAAATTTTATCTACAATGGTTGCTGAAATATTTTAAGAAATCCATTAAAAGATGCACTCGTTTCAGGGGATGTAGCTCCCTTATTAAATATTTTTCGATACATGTTTATAGGAAACTTTTATCTTAAAATTGAATATCCTATCACCTGCTTAAATTTGTAACAATAAAAACGGAACACCCTGTATAATCCATTTCATTGAAATTGGCATAACAGTAGTCCATGATTGTGTAAACTGCGCTTTAAATGTGAAAAAGGATTTCCAATTAAGAAACTAAATTTATCACTAAAAAAGTGTGGTTAAGATAGTTAATATTTTATTTTTAAAAAACCTTCTTTCAGAGGTTTTCAGAGAGAGTTTTTTCCATAAAAAGTTTAACACCCTGTTTTATCCCTTTATAGGTGTAGTTTTAACACCAAAAACATACGTTATTTGCTTTGGAGAAAATAATTTGGTTTTATTCAAATTGGTCCTGAGTGATTTACGTAGCAGGTATTGTGAGTTCTACTTGGGGGACGAATTTTGACACTTTTCGATAGTATGAGTTTTACACGAGGAGAGAGCGGGTGTCCTAACGACAATGTCTAAAAAATTATAGAATTATTTATTCCATTAACCTAGAATGCCTAAAATAGGAACAACAAAAAGAAATTGATTATGTTTTTAAACATACCTTAGCGTGTACTCTAAATCTAGGGTTCTGAAGAAAACTACTTTTAATTATAATTTGAAAAAATAGTAGAAAACGAATACAAATATCAGTCATGTCAGTTCCATTACCATGTAGGTTTTAAGTAATGAAAGAAAAACAAAAACCCCATCTACCTTTAGACCAGGGACATGCGCAGGGCTACAAACTTAAATATGAAATTTCATAGCCAACCATTATGCCAATTTCAATGAAATCTACTATAATATTTTGGCAACAAATTGAAGAACACTATCAAAACTTACTTCCATCCATCCTCACTCGCCCGGAGCGCGTCAATTATTAACAACTTTAAGTCAATTTTGTCTTATTAGGCCTTGAACACATTTTTTTTAATTATCAACATTCAATTGGTAGGTTTATTGCAGTCACAATTTTGAAAACCTTGCAACAAATTTAAAATTGTCAAATGTCAAAAGGGCAGGTGTGGCAACATAAGACAATTTCACATTTAAGTAACTAGATTATAATATTTTTGAAATCAAGTTTTTAATGTTCTTCCTTTCAAAGTTAACTTCATTATTAATTATCACATTTAATCATCGCTATTAAAAATTCCTTGGGACAAACTTTAAAAATTAAATACGAAACACTTTTTGAAGTTTGTTAAAATTATAATAAATTACAGGATGAACCAGGGGCGGATCCAGGAATTAATTTGGGGGGGGGGGGGGG